AAGGGGGGGGGGGGGGGTGCAGAGGGTGGTGAAATCAAGTGGCTTGCCTCCTGCTCCTTCCCACCTGTCCCTGCCACCACTCTCCCTCCCCATTGCCTAATCCCCACATGGCCCTGGCTCCTGCTCCCCCTTCCCCATCACTTACCCTCTGGCTCCACACCCACTCCAGCTCGGGGCAGAGAGCACACGGTTGCTCCACTCCCAGCCTGGCCACACAGCAGTTGTTGCAGGAATGTTAGCTGCAGCCATGCCCCAGAGCCAAAGCCAGAATCAGAGATGCAGCCACTGCTGTTGTGTGGTGGGGCTGGAACAATCATATGCTCTGAGCTCTAGGATAGAGTAGGGCTGGAGCTAGAGAGTAAGTAGCAGCAGTGGTAGGAGTGAAAGGGGGGTGGTCAGACGCAGAGGCAGTGGCAAGGAAAAGCAGCAGCTGTGGTTGCAACCATGAAGCATCAGTAAGAGATGCAACTCTGCTGCCCTCCACTTGTACTCAGATCCAAGATAAGAGGCTTCCCAACCTGTGTTAAAATTGGGGAAAAGCCTTGGTCTTAGCTTCAAGTACGTATGGTAATTTCATAGAGAGTGCAAATATAGTAAATATAACTGTATTTAAGATATTTCAGATAACAGTTATATGATCTTAATGTCTAGTATCCCTATACTTTGAGGCCCTGAGGTTTGTGACTTTAAATGCATTTCAAAATCTTTCAAACTAGCTGCCAACTGTCAGAGAGATCTATCTTAGGCAGGCCCTTAGCACATGTTACATTTAAAGCATAATTAAAATGTTAATTCCATCATAAACAGTAACAGTGCTACACATATAGCAGATTTATGGCACCATAAAGTGACAAACCAGCCACAAAGATATTCCACAAAATGTGTGGAATATCTTTGTAGCTTGTCTGTACAGTGCCATAATTTGAATGTGTACTATGCCCACGCTGATGTTGAAAATGATTGTTTGCAGCCAGGTAAGATGCCCCGTTTGGGAACTGCCAAAGTTGGCAGCCTGCACACAGTATTTTTGATACCCAATCTCAACAACTGTGCATCCTGTCATGCAAGTGTGACATGGCAGGAAGGGTGATTGCTGGGATCAAGGATTAGATCCCATTACATCATTAACTGAATGTCTGGCTGCCCCCTTAAATGGAGCGTCATTCAAAGCTTTTTTGGTGTTCAACTGCATTAAACACAATTGTCTAAACATCTGTTTTCAATTTCACTGAAAGTGCATATTTATAAAAAACACAACACACAAGAATGAGAAATTAACTATAACCAATGACACATTATACAAGAACTAAGTGTAAAACTAATCAAAAGTTCCCCAGAGGTTTGATATGAATCCCTCCTTTAGCTGCACAGTCAAACTTTGAAGCATGTGGAGATGAAAATAATTCAATAGCTTGTTAAAGGAAGTTTGAAACATTTCTTTCAAAATGCAACAAATGAATGACCTTTTAAAAATATTTGATATTTTAGAATGAAAGGTGATAAGCCCTTTTTAAAAAGCATATTAACATTGCTATTAAACCCACTTTTCTTCCTGTGCGTGGTCTTTTTGATAGATAGGGGCAGGGGAGAATAGAAATGCTTCACCAAGTCTTGAAAAGCAAGACCAAAGCGAAGCATCCAGGTACAGTAAAACCTCACTTCATATTGAATTTACTGACTTACAAATCAGCATTAAGATTTAAAACATTAAGGTCTGCCCATACAATACCCCCTTATTTTCAACTAAGCATACCCTTCAGGCTCCAAATGAAACAGTAAAACTTCTACATATACCATAACTACAATTTTAAAATGTCAGTTTTATGCACACAAATTAACTACACAAATTAATCAATCAAATTTTTACTGTTTATTGCATTTGTTTACACGTTTGGGTTTTTTGTTTTGTTTTTGTTTGGTGTAGCTCAACCTGAAGCCACTAGATTAAGCTACATTGTTTTGCAAGACTAAATCATTGCACAGTGATAACTTTGTACATTCATCTGGGTAAATCTTCTGTAGCTTTATCTTCTCCAGTTTATCCCAAATTTAACTGCAGAAATTACTGAAACAGGCAAATCCAAAGTTAACTATCCAAACTGACCAACTAGAAAGGATATTGTGCATAAGGCGATTAATTTTCAGAAATCTGTTTAGAGAGACCAGGCACAGAGTTCTTTTTGAACACACAATACTGAAAACAACCAACAATCTTTCAGGTTAGTTATTCTCAAAATCCAGTTATGCGTTCAACCTTGTAGCTTTAACATGTAACATACAGGTTTCATATTTCCTCAACACTTCAAAAAATGTACCTCAAACCACTGGTTATACAAGTGTACTAGAATAAGACTACAGATGAGCCAAACAGTGCTACCATAACCTATCCAACAGAACTAAAACTACTCAAGAAGCCAATCTCACAGTGAAAAAGCATGCACAATGGAATTAAAAACAGATAGTGACAGGGCATTTAGGTCCTGCACAGAGACTCATCCTGAAGAGTGACAGTCAAGAGTACTAGCTACAATAGCCAACAGAACTAGTACTCAATACATATATACTGGAGACTAGGGAGAAACTTCATTACCAAATGGTATTACTACACAAAGTTTAAGCGGAGAAATATTTGGGATGTTTTAAATTTGTCATTCAATCCTGATGAAACTCAAAATTAAACTATGCATAATTCTGCAGGCTCAATTCTACACTAATCAGAAAATAAGCATGTTGCTTTTTAACCACCTGTGATTTTAACAAAAAGCCCTACTGTCCGATGTAAAACACTATAAGCTAATGCAATTTCAATTTATCATTTTCTACATAATGTCACTAACACAGGGCTTATTTGCAAAGAAAAACCTCAACACTTACATCAATATGTGGTGAATAAATGGACACTTTAAAGGACAAATTATTTAGTCTGCATACCCTCTCATGACTAAGATGCATTCACAAGATGTAGATTATGTGCACTGTTTAAACACGGATGCTAAGTTTACAGGACTATTCCCTCAGTCCAGTTCTTTCTGAAGTTAAAACCTCCAAAATACATGTCTTCACACAGACTGTGAAGAACTAGAATCAATGTTTGTTCCATCTAGGTGTTGCAATAGGTCCCTGGGAAGCCCTTTCAACAACAACATATTCATCAGGGTTGTCAAAAGCTTCGTAGTGGATTAACAAATCCTGAATAGCACATTCCTCAATCTGAAAAATAAAAAGGAGAAACCATGCATTTTGTAATCAGGTCTGCAAAATAGTAGTGCATTCTCAGAATTAAATTAGTTACAAATAAGATTTAACAGTCCCAAATTAACTACTGCCATCTATAAACTATATGAAAATTCTCAGCTTTATTAAGATACAGGAGCATTTTTAAAACAGCCTACCAGACAAAAATGTTTTAAGGTCTCCCTGCTTTGGGAGGCAGTTATGGGATTTGTATGGTCCTAAGAGATGCTACAACTCCTGGCTGACTAGATGCCCTCCTCCAGCAGACTGTAGAAAAGGGCAAAACACTCTAGAACCATGATGGGATGCAAAAAAGGACTGACAGGGAATGTGACTCCTGAAGCTAAGGATGGCTACTGTCATGAAGACCAGTCCTACACTATGAAAATGCACAGCAAAATGATGCTTTAGTAGCTGATAAACACAGCATCTGAAAAGTTGATTCTTAAAAAGCAATTTGTGGAAGAGCTGGTGAAAAACAATAATATAATTACAGGTGGAAAACCAAAGCACCAACCCTAGACACCCCTTAGAGGGGACAAAAACAGCAGCAGCCTAAGGCACAGAACTGGTTGATATTAGGGCTGTGAAAAGTTTCGGTCGCTGATTCGATTTGGCAGAGATTCGGCCCAATTTGGCAGCGAATCTCCGAATACAAATTGAATCAGGAGACCCTTTAATCTCTCTAAATCAAATCAGAACCGTCGGAACTGATTCGGAGAGATTCGGACATAGACACAACATATATATATATCTTTTTTTTTTTTTTCCATACCTCGAGGTACCTAGTGGCTTGTGAATGCTGCAACGCTGGAGTAGATGGAGCATCTCACAGAAGTGTGGTGGGGGGGTCCCCAGCACGCTCAATGGCGGACCCGGAAGTGGACCAGAAGCACTTCCGGGTCCACCATAGAGTGTGTGAGGACCCCCCTCCCCTCTATCTCCTGGCTCGGTGACTGAATCACTGATTCTCTGAATCAGCATCGAATCTTCAAATTCGGATTTGGCCAAATTGAATCGGGACAGTGATCTGAATCAACGAACTGAATCACTGTCCCCCAAATAGGACAAATCTGAATCCAAATCGAATACGGCCCGCATCACACACCCCTAGTTGATATGCCTCTGATGGAAAACCTTTGTGTTACATTAACTCCCAACACAGCTTCTTCTACCTGAATCAAAGCCAAAGGTTTTTCTCTGCTTCTGGTAAGTGCAGCCTCTTGCTGAAGCTCCTCCTCTACAATTGATGCAAATGTGATAGGTGCCATTGCAGTAGAGTTATTCAAGGATGCTGCTAACCAGGGACTGTAATGATAATAAGTTGCGCTTTAAGGTATAATTATCAACATTCTGAAACAACATTATAGGGCATATTTTGTGCTATTTTAACTAGTGCGAGAGATCAAACTTACTTTTGACTTTCCAGCTGAGGAGAATCAGAAATACTATCTTCTTCTGCACATGTTCTGGTCTTGGTTGTGCACCTGGTGAAGAGTGGGAGCAGAGGGAAGGGAATGAAATTTACTCACAAAAACATTCCTCTGGTACACAATAATGCTGTTAGAAATCCTCAGACTTACTGTATTGAATATATTGTAACAGAAGTAGGAATGAAATAGGCTGAAGGGGGAATCTCAGGTCAGGTTATATTTAAGTGCAATATATTGTCAGAAAAGGGAACTCTTGATCAGTACAATTGTAATCAAGTTATAGCATGGGTAATAAAAATTGGCATTTCCTAACTTTTAAGTTCTTGGTTTGGCAAATAAATCTCAATGTTGTCTTGTTAACATTAAAAGATTTCCAGCTGTACTGCTCAGTGTAAATATAGGCTCTAAGTCTGTTCATAGAAAAAGTAAGGAGGTGGCCTCCAGACTGAAAACTGTCTTGTGTTCTTATTAAACATCCACATAAATAATAACTGCAGCATTAAATGAACTGCACAGTAACAGGATATTATTTTTCTAAGCACACGTGAATTATTAAGCCCTTGTCAGGTCCTACACTTAAGACACAATTAACCCTCTAATCACATCTTAAATAGTGACCCAGTCACATGTTCAGGCAAGTAATGACATCACAAAATGCAAAACCAGTCACAAAATTATTACACAAAACATGTAAAAAAACTTTGTGGCTGGTTTCCATCACATCTAAAACTGCATAAGTGGCAGGGTCCTTATAGGCCAAGAATAGTGAACTTTCAATAAACAGATATATTAAAAAAAAAACCAACTTCCCCTGCATAAGTGATCTGGATTCTGCAAAATTATACGTGAAAGGCAGAAAATGAGAATTAAAAGAACAGAAGCAAGGCAAGAAAAAAAAAATCCTTCTGGCTATCAGAAAGCTATTCAGTAAACATGTTAAGAGGAGGTTAATACAACTTCTTGGATTCAAGCCATAGGTGAATTTACAATACATGTGGAGAAAGGGTTGGGCAAGTACTGATTCTGTTATCTAGAATTTTATTACTAAAATATGCCCATTTTTAAGACTGACTCTTAACTGATGTCAAAAGAAGCCACCATTTTACGTACGTAAATCTAGACTGCACAAATACTTTAAGAAAGGGGTATCAAACTCACTTTGAGAGATACGGGCTCGGGTGGCATCAGTGCGGCAGGCAGCTGCTTGCTGTAGTGGAGGTAGCGCAAGCTGCAGCAGGCCAAATTAGCCTCAGACTGAGTGAGGGTGGTGTTGGCATAGCCTTTGCCACCGATGAACCTTGGAAACCAGGACAACAGATTCTGCAGCAAGTTATGCCCAACGATAGTCATGCTCCCAAATTCCTTGGTCCAACAGTAGCGCACACAATAAACCAGAAGGTCTGTCTGCACATTGGTCGAATTCCATGTTTGATATCATAACCCTAAAGCTATCAAAACAATTCTAATGGGAAGATGGAAGATATCCATCCTAAATAATATAATCTCCCTCTACATTAGATATATGTCTGGCAATATGCAGTACTGAGATGTATAAAAATAAATACAGCAAAAGCTTTGTTATCCAGCACCCAGAGCCCTCTCCCGCTGTGTCCAGTGTGCCGCCATCCCTCCTGCTGCATCAGCATGCCGGGGAACAGGGAGAGGGCCCCTGTGCAGGCTGCTATGCCCCGGACCGCAGAGGCTCGGCAAAACCAGAAGCGGCACGGTGGGTTCTTCCGCATTTGCTTTTACCTTACAAGCCGGCATGCTGGTTAATAGAGCATGACAGTTTGTAAGGTGCCAGACAATGCAGCTTCTACTGTAATGAAATACAAACTTATCAAAGTGTTTGCAAAATAATCATAGAGTATTGTAGCTGTCAATCATATATCATTCTGTGATAGAAAGACACTGCATTTTACCAAACTCCTAGAATATATTCTGCAATTAAATAGCCACAAATTGTATGAGAGTGAATCCTAGGAAAAAGTACCCAACAAGATCCACTGACCGCTGAATTCTGTGTGGAGTGATCACAGAGTTCTGGCCTCCTGGCCTTCCACCATACCTAGACACACTGTATGAGGGGGACTGTAATAAAGGATGGATAGACTGTGAGAAGCCATATTACATCCTACACAATGGCTGTATGCATCTGTTTCCCTCACACCACATTCTTCAGGATTCCTCCCTTCAGACATATATTCCAAGGACAAGACGAACTAACTCACCGTTGAACAGGGAACAGAAAGTTTCAAGTATGACTAAGAAGGAATCCATCAAAACATACTTCTAAGAGAACGATGCTTTATGTTTGGCATAAAAACAGACTTGGGAGTTCCTAGTTTGACAAATGCTCTGAAGGGACAGAAACATATGCAAGATAAACAAACTGCCTAGTAAACCCAAAAAAGCGTAAGTGGATCTTCTAGGTTCATCCTACTCTTCCTGTGGCCCATAAATGTAAAACATTGGTACTTCAGAAAATTCAAGTGTTAAGTAAGCTTTTTATATCCAGGTTACTGTAATATCTAGTCTAAAATTTTAAGTGTAGATAATGGATTAATGGATCAGTGTGTTAAATTTGTTTCTCAACAGGTATCAAAATAATCAAGGTAAGAGAAAAATGGTAGAGGGTTTTAAGGAAATTTCAATTTGCTTAAAGTCACAGACCAACCCCATGTTCAAGTAATGCTTTTCTGAATACAGGTTTGTAAAATCTGCTGGCTTTTAATTCTCTACATCAGGAATGAGCAATCTTTATGGCTCTGAGCCAGAACAACCCACACAAGGTCAAAGTTGGGTGGGAGGATGGGCACTAGGACACTGCTGGCTGCCACTGCTGTTCATCCCTATACTTCTGCTGCCAAATGCTTCAAAGCCCCAGATTCAATGGCTTTGAGAATCAGATCCAGCCCAAAGGCTGTAGCTTGCTGAACCTTGTTCCACATAGTTGCTCAATTTATCCAGCAGAAATAGCAGCAGCATGACTTCCTGATATTGCAGAACCTGGCATGACAATCTGCTCTCCCTGTTCATTCAATATGTCCTCTACCCAAACAAAATAAAACTCCCCTCATGCCCCAAAAGCCTTCTGTTGCACACATCTATATGGATGTTAGTTGTGATTCTGCTGCTGCAACTACCTGTCCACTGTAAATGGATGAGACTATGAAACTCATATGCAATTGGGACTGTGAGGGCTTATTCAAAATCAACCTACATAACCTTGAGACAGGGGGTTGAGATATGTGTTGGAGCACTTCACTCCAATGCGTTCCCAAGGCTAGGAGTAGCAGTACACTGACTGGGGTACCCAGTCTCAAAAGCGCACCACAGCCCTTGACTCGGATCCACTCCTAAGGCTGGGAGTGCCAATCAATAGACTGGCATGCCAAGCTGGACGCACTGGGTACTCAGCTTGCTACTTGCTGCAGGGGGAGTCTGTGCAATAAGGTGTAATTGGAATCTGATCCCTGATCCTACAATCCTAACTCCTGTCCTGCAGGATCAGATATTGCTGCTTTAATTGAACGCCTGCCAGGAGCTTGTAAATTAAATAGACTATGGAGGTAAACTGAAACAAAAACCCCTTTCCCCATCCACCCCAATGTCTTCATTACACGTTAAAATCATCAGGCAGGTTTTAGCTTTAACAGTTTTACTTTGGAAGGGGGTTTTGTTGGTTTTTTAAAAAAGAATATTCAAAATGAAAAACTAGAAATATTTAATTCAATTGAAGATTTAGAGAGGAGAGGAAGGTGAGCATGTTACTAAGTAAAACCATTTTGGGTTGCATTCTTTGTCACTGTGCCTAAAAGATTCTCCATATCTGAACTAATATCAAGTGAGGCACCAGTGTTTAAGCTAAACCTTTTTGTCAGTTTAAAATGTTAAAGACAGTGCTTAAATTTAATTTTCAGGGAAAATTCAGATGCATAAAATGAATACAACAAATATACCAAATGCAAATACCCCATGACAGCAAGTCAAGCATTTCATAGTGTAAATTAGATGCATAAATGTATGCCTTACTGAAAAGTGCGCGGCTTTTATTAAAAATTATTAAATACTAAGACTTTTGCATCTTATCAATGTGATGCTTCACAACGGTTACACTGTCACAATACAGACAATTCCAGAATTATTAAATTGACTCACAGCCCACTAAAAACAGTCATCTCAAGCTACTTTCACTCTCACCATTGTTTGCAATATTTAATGTTATGTAGTTACTGAAAATACCTACATTTGTAGTATTTTCAAAGTGCAACAGCTAACCTTCATGATGAGTATTTCTCTGTTCAGACAGTTTCCTTAAGTCACTTACAGGTATTTTTCATATAAAAACTTGTTAAGGACAGAAGGAGATTTGCCATTGTCTTTAGTGGGTCATTTAACTTTTGTAGAATACTCATGCCCTAAGGAAACTGAACACAGAAAAATAAAGAATCTGTGGTCCATTAAAGGTAAAGGTGTCATTCACAAGCTTATGGTATTGATTTAAGCCAGTAACTACAGATACTGTACTTCAGGAGGCAGGTAACAAAGAAGTTTGTTTCTTTCTAGTTGCAAACATCATCCCCTAGCCACTACCATGCTACTTCTAACAAGTGGTCAAAAAACTAGGCCCAAAAGATGAGTCAACAAGCCAGTCTTAAAATGGGCATAAATTACTACTCCAGATATGAGAATTAATACTATTCCCACCTTTTCCATATATAATACAATTCATTTGACACTTGAATCCAAGGAGTTGTATTAATAGACTGCTTGTTATCGGGTATTAAGTATCTGGAGCCCTCCAGTTTCTCTTGCATATATTTGACACACAAATACCACGTGCTTATTGATGCATTTTATTATTAATTGAAAACCAAGTTTACCAATATGGTTAAAAAGCTACAAATGTAACACCCTCTTCTTCTTTTTTAAATCAATGTATAATTAACCAATTTTTAAAAGCGATCGGTGTTAACATCTTGATAGGGTACGTAATAAGCCAACAAAACAAGCAAATACCGTATTTAGTCACATAAAACCTGCACCTTCTTCTCCCCCCACCTCCCTCTTAATCAGCCCTCCAAAACTGGGGTATGCATCTTAAGCAGGGAAGCTGAATTTTCATTGTGGACACTCAAGCATGGAGGGATTTTAACAAGTACTCTGCTAAAATGCTGCCAAGATGGCTGCTACTTTTCTGGGGCCCCAGCAAAACAGCCGTGGAATTCTGTGTTAACCCTGTCACAGCTACTAAGGCTGAGCACCAAGTTTGCTGTGCCAGAAACAGCAGCTGAGCTAGCCACAGGGCAAGGGAGCTGTTGCATGCGGTCTGTAGCACCTGCATGCGGCTTGTGGTGTGGAAACAACACATTATTATTTACAGCAGTGGTCTCCAACCTTTTTAAGTAAGAGGTCACCTTTGGCATTTAAAAGCAACCCAAGATCTACCATGTGCTGCCGCCACCCCCCACCCCCTCACCCCACCCAGCAGGTAAGTGTGTGGGGAGGGAAGGGGAGAGGGGTGCAGATTGAGGCAAAGGAAGAAAAAATATTTGGGAGCAGGCCTCCACAGCAGCTAAGTCCCACCTGGCTGGGGCCCCACTCAATTTACCCCTGCTCCTGCCTCTGCAGCACTGTCCCTCACCACCGGGACCTCCATCTAGCCCCTACTCCTTCCCTCCCCCACGTACTGACCTGCTGAGCTGGGGCACATGCGTGCACACACACAGGCACTCAACCCCCACCCCAGCCTTGAATCAACTCCAAGAGGCTCCAAGATCTACCGAAAGAGGCTCAAAGTTCTACCTGCTGGTGACCACTGATTTACAGGAACTTACATACTTCAAGGGAAGCAGTGCTGTAACAGTTTTGCTACTGCCCTTGCAAAGGTCTAGGTTATAGCTTTGTTGCTGTCCTGCTACACAGAAAGTTCTTTCTGGCTCAGCCAGCCAGTCCAGGACTTGCGGCATCCTGGGAGACATTTCCAGGAGAAAACATGACACGTGATTTACTCTGTCACATAATCCACCATGACTCTGCAAGTGTCTTTTCTGCTCCACTCTACTGTCCAAAAACAAGGTGAGCATCTTATCTGGGGACTTGTAGAATGCAAGAAATATGGTACTTTGCTATATATTAAAGATTAGAAGTATATTATTTTCTTACCTTAAGGGCTTTTGAGCTTGTGGATCCTCAGTTTCTTGAAAACAAACTTTGACTCCAGTGCCTGGAGAATGACGTGCACTGACAGATTTCTCTTCTTCCATTACAAGATCTCGGAATGACTTTGGCAAAGTAGAATGTAATGAAGATGACCTTTAAAAAAATGCAACATTTTATATTTACATTTTCAAAGACTGCATTTGTAGCACAAATATGGACACATCTGAATGCCGACATGCAAAAAAAATTTAAAAAATTAGAAAACGTTATTTTTGGACATCATATTTCTCAGGCCTCTTGCCATGTAACGATAAGTGAACTAAATGTATACAGTGATCAGGTAATTTTTAATCACTGAAGCCTAGGATTAAATACTAAACTTTTATTATGCTGTATAACTATGATACTACTTAATAGTCATTAACAGCTAGATTATAAATGTCAAGGATCAATAAATGCTGGCAGCGTTAACTTTATGTAGACTACAGAATAGTCCTGTAAAAGATGCATTTAATGGCATTTTATAAATCTTCAAAAGCAAATGCAGGTCAAGTTTAGTTTTTAAGTTTCAGCAATATCTTTCCTGTATTGCACACTGAATTAAGTATTTGCCCTAAAATAAATGTTTTGTTGAGAATTGAACAGATAATATAGGATATGTATATTTAGATATACAAGATAATAGTTCTACTACCTCCTTTTTATTATACAGGTAATAAAGCAAACGTAATACAAGAGGTACAAAGAAGGACAACCAAAATGATCAGGGGCAGGGAGCAGTTGCCACATCAAGAGAAACTACAAAAGGGTTGGACTCTTCATGTAGTCCACAACCTTCATGACTGTACAAACCTCTATCATAGGCTCCCTCAGCCTTCTCCTTTTCAAACCGCACTTGGTAAACTGCTGCTCACCAAGTCACAGAATACTAGAACTAGGGGGCACCAACTGAAATTAGTAGATGACAAATTTCAAACTAACAAGAGAAAGTATTTTTTATACAACACATAGTTAACTTATGAAATTCATTGCCACAGGAGGTGATGGAGGCAGAAAGACCCAGGTTCAGAAAGAGACTGGATAAATTAATGGATGATAGATCTATTAATGACTATTTACCACAATGTCTGGAGATCTTTCCTTTGGTATCTCCATGCCAATAAATGGCATAAGTTGGGGAGGACACTTAATAGGGGAAAGATTGCTCTAGACTTAACCAGTTTAGTGCTCTCCCTGTATAGTTATGTTATGTAGAGTGGTAGTGTTATATAGAGTTTAGATTATGGTTTGTATAAAATGGTATGGATAGGGAAGATCATGCATTAGAGGCAGGGGGCTGGACCAGATGGCCTCTGGAGGGCCCTTCCAGCCCTACTCCTCTATGATTCTTCCACCATTGTTGGAGACAGGATACTGGGCTAGATGGACCATTGCTCTGACCCAGTATGGCGTTTCTTACTCTCTTAGTATGCAAAAGTAATAGGCAAGGAAAATTAATTTCTACCTCAATAAGCCTCACCTAAACTGGAAAATGGGAGAATGACTTATTTTAGCCAAAAGCTATTTTATTTATACAAGAAAAGGGAAAGTTGCCATGATTTTACTGATCACTATTATTGGCGCTTAAAAAGGACTCTAACAAACATACTTAAATATACCAACAATAGTTCCCTTCATATAAGTGGGACGGACTTAAAATAGTGAAAATTAAATGTGTGTTAAAAAGGCAAGAATTTCTAAAGTTAGTAGTATGTATTTAAGAAATTATCACAAAAAACCTAAGTGATAAGTGAACTGGAAATCTCTCATGACTGAAATAATAAAACTTATACAAAGAGAAAGTATTGTATATGATACAGAATCATATTCTGTGATTCTATGATTTCTATGATCAGGTGACTCATCACCTGTATGAGAGAAAAGCAGTTGACATCATATACCTTGACTTCCAGAAAACTTTTGACCTGGCATCCCATGAGGTACCGATCAGAAAACTGGAAGATATTGGTCTCAACTGCGGGACTGTCAACTGGGTGCGAAACTGGTTGCAGGGTAGGACAGAGAGTTCAAATTAATGGACTGGTGTCATCCTGGCAAGATGTGGGCAGCGGCATACCCCAGGGGTCAGTACTTGGCCCAGTGCTGTTCAATACCTTCAACAATGACCCAGATGAGGTGGTGAAAAGCCCGCTGGCCAAGTTCATGGATGACACCAAGATATGGAGTTGTGCGGACACACCCGCAGATAGGCTGCAGATACAAGCAGACCTCAACAGGCTGGCATGTTGGGAAGAATGGGACCAGATGAGGTTCAACATAGAGAAATGCAAAGTGCTGCATCTGGGAAGGAAGAACCCCCAGCACATCTACAGGCTGGGCATCGCTAACCTGACCAGCACTACAAATGAAAGGGATCTGGGGGTAACAATAGACCCCAGCATGAATATGAACTGGCAATCTGATGCAGTAGCCACTAGGGCCAATAAAACTCTGGCATGCATCAATCGGTGCATCTCCAGTAAATCCAAAGAAGTGATTCTCCCACTTTACCCAACATTGGTGTGGCTGCAGCTGAAGTACTGCATCCAGTTTTGGGCACCGCACTTCAACAAGGATGGGCTAAAGCTCAAGAGGGTCCAGAGAAAGGCCACCCACATGATCAGGGACTTGCATGGCAAGCCATATGAAGAGAGGCTGAGGGATCTCAGACTCTTCAACCTAAAGAAAAGAAGGCTGAGAGGGGACCTGATTGCAGCTTACCATTATATCAGAGGTGTACATCAGGGGCTCAATAAACAACTGTTCACCAGGGTGCCCTGGCAGAAAACTAGAAACAAACTCCTGGAAGATAGTTTCACAAACTCCTGGAAGACAGTTTCAGGCTGAACATTAAGAAAAACTTCTTCACAACTAGCGAGTCCAGACTATGGAACAAACTCCCCCCAGAGGTGGTGCAACCATCTAGCCTAGAGGTTTAAGAGAAGACTGGACAGTCACCTGGCTGGGGTCACCTGACCCCAGATGTCTTTCCTGCTCATGCAGGGGGCTGGACCTGATGATCCTTCGGGGTCCCTTCCAGCCCCATGATTCTATGTATAGATATTTTATAATCAGCCACCAGAAACTGAAGACTTTAATAATACATCAGATAGATGAAGCAGTATTTATCTGAGAATCACTGTCAAAGTCAGATTTACTTCAGGAATGCCCTTTTGGCCATACCATGAACACCCAAATGTTATATCTGGAAGTTCAGGATACTGGGCCAGATCCTCTGGTATACACGGTTGCCTCTGCTTAGTGCAAGTAGTGAAAAGAAAAGAAAAAAAATATGGGATTTTGAGTTGATTACACTGCAGTTCCAGCATCAGAGAGTTATGACTGAATAAAACATTGGCTATCCTCTAACAGCAGGGTGTTTTTGTTTTTCTTTTGAGGGAGGCAGAGGGAAGAAGAGGAAGACATCTGTTACTAGCTGACATGTTTTAGCAACCTCATCTGAGACTAGGGAATTACACAGCCTATCTCCAAGGAAGCCATTCTGTCAGTTTTATCCAGTTGCAACATAGCATACCACAAAATATGGACAACTATTTAAGTTATAAACAAGTTTATGTATATCCAACATAAAATTAAGACTTAAATATCTTTCCTGCCATGGAGAATTGTATGTTGTGCTCAACATTTAAAATTATTTTTTTAATTCACTTTCACTTCCAGCAAATTTATAACACTAATTGTAAAGACCGTCTGGTCCAATTAAAAACACTGCATTTTATTTTCAGTGGAGGAAACTTTTTGTAGCTATAGACAAACAAGGATTAAATTCCTTTACAAAAGAGCTTTTTTTGGATGGGTCATAGATGGCATTTGACAAACTGAGAACTTACAATATTGTAAATATTTATTGTCAAGTGTATGTATGGGCAGCAACATAATTTAATAAGGTCATATGTAAAGTGTTTAAACCTTCATTCCGGAAGGACTTTAGCTCAGCGGTTCTCAACAAGGGCAACCCAGGGTGCCTTGAAATTCTTTCAAGAGTACCACCAACAGTGTTAGCACTGCTAGATGTGCCAATCCGATTCACAAGATAAACCCAATGGGCGCGTCCAGATGAGCCCTCATGTGCCTCTTGCAGCACCTCAAACCCCTTTGAGACTCTGCAAGAGGCATGTGCAGAAACAAACAAACAAACAAAAAAACCTTCCCCGCACTGCAAATTTGCAGCAGGGGAGCAAAATTAGACTCCTGGATATTCAGGGGTCAACTAATACCCTGGGGAGAAAAAAAACAGGTCAGAGCAAAGTCCCAGACCATGCGCTGAGGCAACTAGAGGCTCAGTCCTCTACTGAGATGCTCTGGCAGCCTGCCAGAGCATCTCTGTGGTTGGTGCTTTCCTGGGTCTTGAAGCACACTGCCTGCCTGCGTGGGGCAGAAAGCAGTGCAAGCTGCAGGGTCCAGGACCCAGCTTCTGCCAGGTAAGCAGGGGGTTGGGGAGCTGGAGGAGGGGACCTTCCTTCTCCCCACTGCCCATTCATTCCCCTAGCTCCCCGCTCGATCTCCCCACCCCAATTAATTCTCCCTGCTCCTGTTTCATTCCCCCCACCCCATTAGTTCTCCCTGTTCCCCCTTTGTTCCCCTAGTTCCCCACTGGCTCTCCCAGCACCCCCCTCCCCCCCCAGCAGTATCAGAAAACAAGCCGGAAGCTGGACACAGCAGGCGAACGAGCAGGGGGCTGGAGACAAGCCCCTGGAGATAAGCTGGAGACTTCCCCTGCTCTCTCTAGCCTGCTGCTTGTTCTCTACTACCGCCGGTGAGTGTGGGGAGGCTGGGAGAGCAAGCAGAGAGCTGGGGGAACCAACGGGGGTGGGGGGAATGAGCCTCCTCCAGAAGCTGGAGAAGAGCAGAGGAATGAGCAGGGGGCTGGAGACCAGTGGGGTGGCCAGGGAGAGAGCTGTAGCCCCTGTGGGGGGCCAGGGACCCTGCAGGCAGAAGAGTCTATGTGCTGTGGGGGGCAGGGGACCATTGGCGACATGTAGGGGGTGCATGCAGGTGCACATGAAGCCACTGTGTGGTGGTGCACCCCCTCAGAAAAGGTGCCACTGACACTATCGGCAGTGCCTGTGGCCAGTCACTGCTTGCCACCACCCCCTACCCTGCTGCCACCAGCATCTGCGGGCAGTCAGCGATCACCGCTGGCTACTGCTGTCACTGCCGGTGGTGAATGGGGGTAGTTGTCGACCCCTGGTCAGTGCTCGCCTTTCCTCTCCCTGCTGCCAACAGTACCAGCAGTGTCTACAGGAGCTCTTCGCTTACTAATACCACCACGCTCCCAGCGCCGCCGTGCCCCGCCAGCTGCCGGGGGCACGCAGCATTCACGCAGGGGACCCACCTCTCCTAAACAGCCCCCGTACCCACAGTCCCCCTACACCTACCCACACAGTGACTCATCCCCCCACACCCACATCCCCCCACCCTCCTTCCTACCCCCTCCTGCAAACCCCACATCTCCCCATCACACACCTACCATGTGATAAGGAAACCAAAAGCAAACATTAAAAACTTATAGATATTTAGGATTAATTTTATTATGATGCTAGAAACACTGGTAGGCTTCCCCATTTCTTTAACATTGTAAACATAGCAATAAAACATTACCCATCTGATCAATACCCCTTTCGCTCTCTCTCTTGTTCTGTGTAAGAATGTGGATTTTGGGGTATTTTAAAAAGTGAATTTGGGATGCTGCTCCAGCAGTCTAGCTGACACAAGGGGCTGATACCAACTAGCTGGGCCCCAG